CTCTTTTCGCAGAGCAGTAAGTTATTGTAACATTATGTTGTAAAATATATTCTCCGTATAGCCGGTAATGAGTATACTTACGTCGTATTATCATAAAATCAACTTCCTTACACACTTACCTACTTACGTTTACAAATGTTTTTGTGCCATAAAATTACTTTGTACTCTAGGATTAAGAATACAAAAATAATAAAACACAATCTCAAATAGCGAGGTAAAATGCGAAGGTTACAAGGTATAAGATTATTCTCAAAGATTGTCAGATTATCTAGTCGGATCATTTATTATAGCTGGTCAGACCTTTGTACGCATGCTACACGCAAAGTAATTTTTCTTAAATATTATTTTATAATGCCGCATGTCTAATATTTCTCGTTTTGTTAACATAGTTTTTACCTAAAACCATATGGCATTTTAAAGAACTTTATCGAGAAGATAGACCGGTAGTGTGACTTCCATAGTTACCGCTTCGTCTGCAGTCTTCATCAATGTTTCTGTTTTTCTAAAATTACCCAGTCCATAACACGGATTCTAAATAAAATAGTCTCTAAGACAATGGGATTGAAAACCAGCTGAAGTCGTTGATACTTTTCATGGTTATATGAATAATGTAACGTTGGTAAAAGACGTGGAATTAAGTTATGATATCGCCCTCTTTCTCTTGCGCTTTCTCTCTCTCTCTCTCTCTCTCTCTCTCTCTCTCTCTCTCTCTCTCTCTCTGTCTCTATCTATCTGTTCTTTAAAATGAGTAATAAAGATAAAACTCAATATCCAATAATTTCCGAAGCGACACACACACTCGCCGCTCTCTTGAACTTCGTAAGTCGGTCACTGTCAGTAAGCCATTATCAAGTTCGTAATGCTAGCGATTGTAATGCGTAATAACTGTGATCCACAACACCTAACTACAAACGCTAATATTAAATAATGATTATACGCTTGAAATATGCATAAACTAAATTTGATTCCTATTGTATTAACTCAAAAAGCTTTTTAACTAGCAAAAACAAAAAAGTGAGTTCGCAATGCACTGAACATTTGCTCATTTTTTTTTCAGCTTTTGTAGGTAGGTACCTAGTTTATTATTTACGTATTTAGAAAAGTTTTCGGGTAAACAGTGTTTTAAACTTTAGGAATAGACAAATTTTTGAAAAGATATTGATTGGGTAGGTCCAGATAACTTAAAACCTCTTTAGCGCCATCTAGCACACACCAAGTGCCTATGAATGGTTTAAAGTATAGCAAAAAGTTATATTTTCTGTTTATTTATTATACGGTAGTAAACTATAGTGTTTTATTACTACTTTAGAAATAAACCATAAATCGATAAATATATCGAATAAAACCATAAATATATCTAAGAAATAAAACTACAACTGATTTAAAACATAAATCTTAATAATATTATGAATGCGATAGTTTGTGAATTTGTGTATTTATGTGTCTGTGTGTATGTTTCTTACCCAATCACGTCACAACGGTTAATGGGATCGGGTGAAAATTTGGTACATGGATAGATTATGAAATAACACATTGGCAGAAGCCACTTGTAAAACTGAAAACAACAACTGTCGTAAAACTTAGTTAATATTACCTACAGTACCTACATGACAATGATCTCGTGAGTACTTACGAACAAAAAAATCATCGTCGAGTTTCCGCAGTTTATCTAATTACAGGAAGCTCACGCTTGTATTATTCTCCACTGATAAATTATGATGGCCACTTAATGAGATCAATTATTTCAAAATACTTATTATGGCGTTTTGCAATTGAATTGAAAACATGGTTTTTTTAATGCTGAGTCATTGAATTGATTCTATTAGAAGACACAAAGCAGGATTACAAATGATTAATATGAACATAAAAATAATGTAATCGTAAATAAATGTTTGCATACTTTATACTAAAATAAAGGGTAGGAAATGAAATATATAGCCAAAATCTGTTTCAGTGTTTTCTAACATGGCTTCGAGAAGCTATAAATTTACAATTCAGAGAAAATACCAACTTACCTATAAAATATGTTGATAGATATAATATTAAAATATGGAATACCATTGTAACAAAATGTAATCTGTGGTTATGCCCTACCAATTTTTCCCGAACAAGTTTCTATATTTCAGTAGCCTGAATGATTGGATCAAGTAAACAATAGACGCAGACGGGATAAATTATAAATTAATTAGGTAGCTAATGTTGAAATACGTAAATATACTTCTTGCAATTACTTACGCTTCCGAGGGCTTAACTCGCAGGGCTCTACGATGAATATGGGCGTTCCACAGGGTTCAATATTGGGTCCCTTTCTCTTTTTAGTCTATATAAATGATTTGCCATTTATATTCAAGAATGAACCAAGAATGGTGCTTTTTGCAGATGATACCTCATTAATTTTTAAAATAGATCGACGTGCTAATAATCTTGACGACGTAAACAGCTCCATTCTTCGAGTGCAAAACTGGTTCACCATTAATAATCTAGCGCTTAATGAGAAAAAAACAAAATGTATTAAATTTAGTTTACCAAACGTCCGAAGTAATGATTGTGATGTTGTTTTAAACGGCCAAAAGTTAGAATTTGTCGACGAGACGGTATTTTTAGGCATTACATTAGACAATAGACTACAATGGGGCCCACATATAAAGGCGCTTTCGGGGAGATTAAGCTCAGCTGCTTTTGCAGTTAGACAGATTAGACAGCTCACGGACGTAGATACGGCAAGGCTTGTCTATTTTAGTTACTTTCACAGCATTATGTCGTACGGCATTTTGTTGTGGGGTCGAGCTGCAGAAATAGAATCAATTTTTATTCTTCAAAAGCGGGCTATCCGAGCAATATATAACTTACGCCGTTGCGAATCGCTAAGAGAATTGTTTAAAACGATAAACATCTTAACGGTGCCCTGTCAATACATATATGAAAATATAATGTATGTAAGAAAGAATAGGCAATTGTTCGAAAAAAGAAGCGATAGACACAATCTTAATACTAGAGGCAAGAATAAGTTAGCTGTACTGCAATTCAGACTGTCCAAGGTACAGAAATCCTTTATGGGGTTAGGTATTAAATGCTATAATAAAATACCAAATAGCATACTAGATCTAAATGAAAGTAAATTTAAAACATATATTAAGCGCGAATTATGTAAACAAGCGTACTACAGGGTGATTGATTATCTTGAGGATAGGAATGCTTGGCAGCGTGTTGGTTCGGCTCCACTGGACAATACTCAAATGTAGTCAGTACCTAGTTCAGATTACGATAATAGGTAATTTAACACTTTGATTCCGATGAAGGCAATCTATTTTTCTTGTGGCATCGAGCATTTCTTTCTTTATTTAAACAAGAGTATATTTTTTTTTTTTTTCTATTTTAGTATGTTCTGTTATTTGTATGTTGCTTCAGGTATGTCTTTACATTATTCTCACATGTGTGTACAATATTGGAATATGTATCAGAGCAATGTAAAACAGACTTTTTTAAAAGAGTAACGAATGGAGTTTCTTGCTCGTTCTTCTCCACTCGAATCGACATTTTGGAACGAGCGCCTAGCTTCACTGACGGACAGACTGACAGACTATTATATATCTCATATTTGTTGACGTTTCAAAAGTACCAAATTATGGTTTAATTGAAATAAATGCTTTTGAGTTGAGTTGAGTTGAGGATAACTATAAAATTCATATAAACTTCATTTCATTGCCCATAAAACTATGCATGGTTGATTAAAGACGTTTATACATCATTTACTAATGATTTAAATTAACTTCTTACTAATAACACAGCTTTTAATATTTTATTTTTAATGAGGCTTTAAATCTTAAATACTTGTTTTACTTAAGGCACAGAAGGTGTGAAGATACATCTTCTGTGCCAGAAGACAAAATAGGTATTTTTAATTCGAATATTATTGATTCAGATTAAGCTTCGAGTGTACGACCTCTGAAAGGCATGCAAGTACCTAAAACCAAATTGCTTAAGTACAATTTAGAGTGGTTCATTTTAAAATATAGCCGTCTTTGGTCCAGTTATATTCGTACATATGACGTACATATAATATCAAATTAAGTTTGATCAGAAATAGTAAACCGGTTTTTGAGATATAACATTTTATTGTCTTTTATGGCCATGTTTGTAGTATTTCAAAAGCAAAACTTCCACTTGTTGGCTGTTCAAAATAAAAACGTTGACTCGTTTTTCGCAAAAACCTGCCTAAGTGCCTACGTCTATTTAAATATTTTAAGATTTTTCAAACATCATAATAATTATGTGTCGCTCAACTAAATATAATATGTTTAACGAGAGAGGATGCATCTTAACATTCCCAATGTTGCCTACAAAGTTAAGGGTACAAAGTTCGGCCCTAAAACGAATTGGTCAGGTCCAGGAGCTACAAGTTTTAAGTATTTCGTAGCCTCTCTCATAGTCATAAGTATAAAAAAAGCAAATAGTTAGCAACACTAAAGATTTTATCTACACCCGTTTATGGTACCATGATTGGAATGTTAACCAACTATTTATAAAACAATTTACTACAAGTTACGTTTTATACCACAACTAATTAAACAATAACTACTTACATGATAACGTTGTTGATAACATAACATAGGTCTTATTATTAGGTATTTGTATGTAACCAAAATTAACTTTATTCCATTGAAAGAATCAAAATAATATCGTGCAATACTTTGTGCTTTGATAAAAATAAATGGGATAACCTTTAGTCGTGTAAAAATTACTTTTGAATTAATCTTCGATTCCCTCGTGATATGTAACGCATGTTTGCATTTTAAATACCACAGTCAACATTGCAGTAAAAACTCAACACGTACTTATAGTAAAAATAAAAATCAACTGAGATTTTAATCTTTGACATATGTATAATTAGACTCTAACCTATAAATATGTAGGTATGTTATATACTTACGTAATGCAATACCTATTTAATGTAGTTTTGCGTAGCTCTTTATTAATACTTTATTACTCTATTGTTTCAGAAAAAAAGACGATTTTAAAAGGTGTGTCTGGTTTGTTCAAATCCGGTCAACTGACTGCCATAATGGGACCTTCGGGCGCCGGAAAATCTTCCCTCATGAACGCACTAACTGGTTTTTCGTAAGTACAGTTTAAGACAATAATTAGAAAATACACTCCACATTAACATATCTATTCAAGGAATTTCGGATTCCTCTTCGAAGAAAATCCAACTATAACACACTATTGTCGTACCACATACATATTATAAAAAAAATAAAAGGTATACCTAATACCTATATATCCAATTTTAAGCCCTTCCAGAATATTTTCAACTGAAAATTTTTCGACCTCGGTCTTAATAGTCATATTTTGACGAGGCTATCAATTAATACTTCCAAAAATTCTTGGTATTCCAAGTCTTCGTTTGTTGCAGGACTAAGGGCGTCACAGGGAGTATACGTGCTGGAGATAGCGTATGTGAACTGAAGCCTAAAGGCTCACTAAGTTCCCTTAAAGCATATAGAAAGAAATCTTGTTACATATTACAAGATGATAGACTGAACCCTTTATTCACTGTGGCTGAGCTGATGAAATTCGCAGCTGACATGAAACTAGGTGACACTCTAACAGATAAATTGAAACTGAGCGTGGTAAGTACAACCAAATTGTGTCTTACATTCGATCGATTACTAACAATCGAGAATAATGTCGTCAAATAATTTTACAAATCCTATGAAAAGTGTGGTTGGAAAACCTGCAGAGCTTTGCTTGCTCAAACAAACAAAGTCATTAGTTCCTATTTTTAGAGCAGTTGTTTAAATTATCAACAAAAATGAACTTTAAAAAAATCTTATTACTAACGTACTGACGTAATAAAATTTCCATTCAAACCGGTCGTACCCGTATTTATTTAGACACCTAATTGCATTTTCATAATGATCAAAATCGAGTTAGATTTCTGCAATAAATTATCTGCGTACGTCAATACTTAAGTTGTATTAAGACAAATAAATATCTAAGTATTAAAATAAATCATAAAGGTTAACAATGTCATCTGTATGGCATTATTGGAAATACCCAAATTGCATTGTATTGTTTTAACGTCATCAATATATACCGACGTCTAGCCACTATGCACCTAAGTGACCCGAAGTTTCTTTTGAAAACTTAATACTAGTTTTATTCTGCGATTTCCTTGCTTTTGGTACAGTCAAGTATGTTATTGTAAGAAAAAAAACGTGAGAAACTTATTTTTTAGACGTCTAGGCGTCTGAAACGTTCTCGAAGGATTTGGATACAAAAATTAGATAGACCTCATGGAAATGTTGACTTTTTTAAAGGATTTTAATTTTGCAATAATAATTTATCAAGCGCATAAAATTAGTCTAGATTGACTGCTAATTTAAGATATAAAAACTGTTTTTTTTTTTGTTGTTTGTACAGTCTTGTTTTTAAACTTCGCAAATCTACATTAATTAGAATCAAATTTCAAATCACGATCTATGAGAATAATTCCACGACAGCAATTCAATGATAGTCTTCACCTGACAGTTACAAAGGTCGACGACACCTAATGACGGAAGACTGACAGTTTCATTCAAATTTTAAGCTGTCACTTTTTCAATGAAATAACGTACTTGAAGTAAAAACAAAATACCTTTAATTCTAGGAATATTATGTTAATGTTATCTGAATTCTACCTTTATTTTAAAATGGCTGTTTATACAGGTACTTAATGCTATTGATCACATCGGGAACCATTCTAAAACCAATACTACAGCTTAAATTAATCAAATATAAGTACCTACAATGGCCTGTAAATTACAAGAATTTTTCTCCAACCAAAATACCCAAATTATATATTGGCGAACCAAAAGACCAAAATAAGGTCGACAACGCATATTAAATTCCTAATAATCCCAATTTACAGCATTTTTACCTTGTTGCAGATAAATGAAATAATCAATACACTAGGGTTATCGGGATCAGAAAACACAAGGTGTGCAAGTCTCTCTGGTGGACAGAAGAAACGATTATCGATAGCAGTGGAACTGATTGACAACCCTCCCGTACTTTTCTTAGATGAACCAACTACGTAAGTATTTTTAGACAAAGCTTATTTTCTCGGGCTCGTAAGACAATGAAATAATGTAAAGTTTGATGCCAGTTTCGTACAAACTTATTGTTTTAAACTGAGTAACTACCTCTACAAAACACTGATACACACACGAGGCTACAAGCTTGCCTGTATTACCTACAGCAGATCAAAAGTTGCTCTGATTGGCCGGTTCTAATGAACCAACCAATCAAAGCGCTGAATGTGGTCTCGTTTCGGTCTCATTTCGGTCTCATTACGGTCTCGTTAAACGTAAATCAAACTCGCCCCTCAAATAAGCCAGAACGGACACGTACACGAGGTACGTGTCCGTTCTGAGTTATTGTATGTATTACGTACAGGGGTATAGAACTATAGACCTCTTCAGTATTCAATACTATCAAAACCTTTCTAATTATTTATTTCTTCCCCACTCAAACTAGAGGTATAGTACATTAAATATTACCAAGTCTCAGACCCAAGAATGAATACAGATTCATTTTATGAATGGACACGTACTGCTATCCTGCGTAGTGTAAATAATAATGTTTAAGCAAAGCTTTAATTTTACATAATATTAGAAGTGTTTACTATAAGATAAACATGCCAATAAATAACCTGAAACTACTCTGTATGAACATTCTAACTGTTTTTTGCACATTACTCCAATGTTTTTTAAATGATAATGATCTGTAGTCGGTCGGTGATCCCAACGGACTGGTTTAATTAAATCTAGACCTTTTCTCATTTGTCTTCGGACATGACACTTTGCAAAATATCACGCTACAACCAATAGGAGCCGAGCAGAGCGGGTGAAATCACGCGCAAGTAGCTAGTGTCATTATAAATACCCACTTAACTTTTAGAAACGTTTTCTTCATTTTAGTTTTTCTATTAAGGAGAACTGAATCAAATTAATATGCTATAAAATCCCCCATAGGAAGCGTAAGACATATAATCTACTACTGATTATAATTTCACAGTTATTATTTACTATATTTTTTATACCATAAACTTCATTATGTATACGGCGTAAAGAGACATATCTATGTACTCGTATACAGCTCCTGGTGTTTCATTTACGTAACAACACAAAATCCCTCAAGATTAGTGCCATTGAATGCTAAATATTTTTTTATTTCTGTCTAAATATTTCTGCCTCATTGACCGAGTGGTATCCGAGACAGAAAGCCGGGCAAGTTTCTCAATGGAAGCTCGGAGTTTGGAATTATGCCCGGTATATGGCAATAGGCTCACCCCCTATTACATAGGATTCATAACATAAATAGTAATAAGTGGGTGTTACATTGTACAGTGGCTTTAAAAGCCGTAACGTCTGCCTAACCCTACGGAAATAAAAGGCGTAATGTTATGTTATGTTAATATAATAATTTCACAATACACTAATTAACTAAACAAATATTATTGTTTTAAAATAACAGGGTCTATTAATGATATATAGATAAATAAATACAATGTAGATATCTAATATAAAGCTACGTATCTAAAACTGGTTCTTAATGAAGTCTAGCCGACAAACAAAATGTTATATTTTTTTATATATCAAGTGTAACAAGATATCTAAATCAGGTTTGTTATATCAATACACAATATTTTTTACAAGCGGCTCGACTTTGCATAACCTCCTATAATTGTGTCCTCCTTAATCAAAAATAAATTATTTCGACTGTTCAGTACAATAAAATATTAAAAAATAGTCACACATTCATTAATTGCTTTTATGCCCAACTTAATTTTTGTATTAGTCCAGCTAATTTTAATAAGTAAATATTCTTTTTCACGCTAAAAAGAACGTAACGTCACAATACACAATCTCGTATAAAATTCATAGAAATCGGTCGTTTTTGACAGTTCGAAAAAAGTATTGAATTTGACTAGTTGGCAAGTACCCAATTAAGTACATATTGTATACTAGCTACGACTACAGGGTGGAACACACTGTGGCGGAATGCCCTGCGTAGGCTGAGCACCGCCGTCCCCTCAGGAAATTGATTGGCGATGGCGACCTCTCGCGTCCGGGCCTAGTGCAGGTCATGATGGCCTTTTGCGAATCAGTTATGCTAGCTAAGGAAGAGGCTGCGAAGAGAGACAGAGAGTTAGGAGCAGACGGATCACCTGATGGTAAGCAATCGGCGTCGCCCATGAACACCTGGAACACCAGAGGCGTTACAATTGCGTTACTGACCTTTTGGGATTAGGAATTTGAGGATTAAGGGGGATTCGGGGATTGGGAAAGGGCGTGGGAGAAGGGAAATTAGGTCTTCGGTAACCTCACAAACACGACAAAACAGTGTTGTTTCACGTCGGTCTTCAAAGTCAAATTGTCAAAATAACCGTGTAATTTAACCATCTCGAGATCGTCAAATAGCTTTTTACTATATATTTAATGACGAAAAAAAATTTAAAGATTGAGATCTAGCCATTGGACCGATTGGCTCTCGAAATGTGCCTTTCAAACTCACTAAAGTTAATATTTTGTTACAGTGGCCTGGACAGCAGCACATCTGCGCAGTGCATGCAACTTCTAAAGAACTTAGCAAGCAATGGTCGGACGATAGTCTGCACTATTCACCAACCGCCTGCGTCCGTTTACTCGCTATTTGATCAAGTAAGAACATTATTTTTACTGTTTTCTATATGTACTAGGTAATATAGGATTCCCCTCCAAATTATTTTGGTCCTGTCATACGGGATTTTTGAGCCTTTTTGCATACATTAGAAATAGCCACATTACAATTCATGTATTATAAAAAAACTATAAATTTAAGGTAAATTTTTTTATCCATCGTGTTAATAATTTAACATCTAATTTTGACATAGAGAAAAATTTACGCATACCTATTCAAAGTGTGTTCTTAAAAATAAGTACATTATATCTGTCGCGAATCGTGAAAACATACAAAACAACTAATGGCAACACGTCAACCGTAGATGATCAGTTTAGTATGCTCTAACACTTCAGCTAAATATTTGGTTAACGCTTACAAAAAATTGGTCAAGAACACAAGGATGCATTACACACAGAGTAACAGCTTCACGTTTCAAGTAATAGTTACACAATGCGCTCAAAATCAATAGACCTTGCTTTACTAGTGTTGAAGAGTATTTCTCATGTGTTAAATTACCAACACGTTACAATAGAAATAGTAAGTATATTTTTATCGAATTTTAGGAGGAAGGAGTTTTCCAAACAATGCTTAACATTAAACAATGTTTGCTTTGGTATTTACTAACGATAAAATGCAAATAAAACCACCTATACCTATTGAAGCGTGCTACTCAACATGATATGACATCACTGTTCAAAATACTGATGTAAAAACAAGAGCTTTTTAGTCTAGTATTTTTATGGATTCGGAAATTAGTATTTCAAATAAGTGATCTACAAAAATTATCGTAACAAGATGTCAAGAAAGCCATCTTTGATTATAACTATATCCATCTTTGTGAAAAAATACTGTATGAAACCTATTTATAGGTTAACCCAGGAATCAAAGACGAGGACATACCTCTGACACTGACACCTGTATAAGATTTCCTATATTGTCAGTCACCATACAGCACAATAGAGATTTTTTTCTATATCTGTCAATAGGTTACTGTGTAGGTACTTAAAAGGTATAATAATAATATTATGGACAAGGCAAGTACCATAATGTTAAGGCCACCAGAATATTTAATTCTAGACTCCATTTTAGTAATAAAATATATTGTGGACCTATTAGAGTAATTGACTTTTCTAGGATAATATCCATATCATGTTCAAAGTGTACATATGCCCCATAGACAGATACGTTCAAATACATCAAATTCCAAATTTATACATCATCGTGTTGGCTTCTACCAAACAACCAAAAAGTAAAGATGATGAAGTCGGTAAAAAATACGGCTTTTATCAACACGTTTTGATAGACTAATGACTACCAAGCGCTAGTACAACCAACAGAATACTCCGTAAAAGAATTAAACAAGAAAATCAAAATGAATATCAAAATAAACAGGTTTTGTTAATAAATTCTAGTGTCAAAAATCTTGATAGCCTTCATCTAATCTGTTTTTTTTTCAAAACAGGTATACATGCTTGCAGAGGGCATGTGTATTTATCACGGAGCCAGTGAAAACACGGTCCCTTACCTTGCTTCAGTGGGGCTACAGTGCCCGATGTACCACAATCCTGCTGATTACAGTAAGTAGATACATAATAAGGTTGTGTCCCAGTATGTGCACAAACATTACCGAAAGTTATGAGAACAAAAAACACTTCCCTTAAGTTTTGCTAATCCTGTTATAGATTCTCCATTACTATCTGATTATCAGTTTTAACTTCATGGTAATTAATCCAATATGGAAATAATTAGCTTTGAACTATTAATATCACTTTAATTCATAATTCCAGTGAGACTTGCTACTGGTCTTTTGGTCCAAATACAATATAGCTCATTCATTCGACTCATAAGGTCGACTGTAAAAACTTGAAAGTTGTACCTAACTTAGCAAAGTGGTGACCTTGGCTTAATGTAGGTACCTTTCAATTGGAATAAACACTAACCTACCTAAAAAAACAATAATCGAAAAAACAAATAAACAGATTAAATCAAGGTCTATCTTTGCCTCTCTCCAAAACATAAGTGTAACACACCATTTTCTATACATTGCTTTTATTTATTAGGGATTCTTATATCGGTCACCATTATAGATCATCAAAGTTAATAGTTAAAAAAATATCAAAAATATATTGGATGATGGACATTGGAATGTTATCATTTTTTGTCCATCATATAATGCAACTTAACCAATGGCAAAAAGATAAAACATAAAAAAGCATTCAATTTTTTATAAAACACGCGGATGTCGAACTGATTCACAACTGAAACAGCACCTAAATCATAAATACACTCGATCATCAATGATCAATCATCATTATTTAGATTGAAATAGCTATTTCAATGATTCGCTTATTTATTGTTATTTTATGGACTAATCTTGTAACTACTTAGGTGCCATTTATTTTATTAAAAAGCACAGTGTTTTTATTGCATAAGCCGTAAACGATCAGACGGATCACCTGATAGTAAGCAATCGGATTGTGGAGGATTCGGGAGACTAGGGATTAATAGAATAGGGGGGGTAATTGGGCCTCCGGTAACCTCACTCACACGACGAAACACAACGAAAGCGTTGTTTCGTGTCGGTTTTCTGTGAGGCCGTGGTTTCACTCCGGTCGAGCCGGCCCATTCGTACCGAACCATGGCTCTCCCACACAGTTATTCCAAGATGGTAATTTATTTTAAAAGCTCAACAGTGTTGTCATATTAAATACACAGTTGTATTTTGCTTTTGGTACCGTTTATTCAAACAAGCCTTTTGTACACATATATAACTATTAAAAGTTCCATAGGTATTGAGGCCTGGTCAAGTGGCTTAACTTGTCTACAAACCACGAATTCTTGGCATGAATGCTCAAGCCGAGCTAAGAAAATATTTGATTAGAATCATGTTAACACTAAGAGTGAAATTCTATGGGTATTCTAGTAAATAATATTAAATGATGATATAAAATATGTACCTATCTCACAAAGAAGGTTTACCTGATGCAAAGGATTTTATATACTAATAATCTTAACACAATATAACGTTAGGTAATAAATACACTAATCTGTTTACATGACGGATTAAGAACAGCTAAAAACAGTGCCTTTTGTATTTTATTGTTCTATGGAACTCCCGATCTGTATTGTAATCATTTATTTGTAAGAGACTGTTTGCTTTAAAAATATATATACGATAGATATGGTTTATTTCCTTCAGTTCTAGAAATTGCAACCGGAGAGTATGGGAAATTCAACGAGTTCTTGGCGGAGAAGTGTTCGAACCATATATGGGCGGAGAAACCAGCAATCCTACCGGTACCCGACAGAATCAGCGAAGTGATATCTTTAGGAAAAACATCGGTTATCATCAATCCACCGCATGAATTATACAAATTCGGAAAATTATTTAGGCGGTGCGTCTTACAACAGTATAGAGATTGGGTAAGTCCTAATAAATACTGTTTTTTACTAGTTAGGTCCTACAGCACAAACTAATACTGTTTATTTAAAGTTAAATCGTTTAATTCCCTATATAAAAATCAACTAATTAATCAATCGGATTCGAACAGATTTATGGTCAAGTCGCCTATTTAATATTGTTACTCTAAAACTAAAGGACCAAATCTCTTGGTCCTTTTGGCCCTAACACAGATGTATGTACTTTAAATGATGATCTATTTATTCTATTGTCCGCCCAACCTATGGACCCTTTTCCTGTTGAGTAATGTCACGAATGCGTCACATTATTGCTGTTAACTTATCTACATAATATTTACCTTGCGTTTATAGTTTATATGCTCACGTGCATTTGCCACACACGACAGACAAATAAATTACTATGGCCGTTGTATGTCAACAATTCCTATTAGTTATGAAATCTTTGGTGTTTTAATTCCTATTCCAGTTAATTATGTAATAAATGTGCAATGATTTATTTATTTTTAATTCTGATGTAGGTAAAACATTATTTTAGATAACATAGACTCTTACAACATACTAATTTAAATAATCTTTATAAAAACTTCGTCGTGCCCATTGTTTTACTAATATAATGTAGTAGTAGTAAGTGTGTAATCAAGAATTTAGTTTTTCAGTTTGCTCATATCAAGCCTAAAATTATTGCTTCCTACTTACCTACTCTTTTATATCGCCCATAATATATTACGTAGGATTGTAGGAAACAATTGAAATTCATTACGTTTTCTTTTATTCAAGCATTCTTTTATTTTCTTTAAGATAAACCAAAGTAATATACTTAACGATTTATTGGTTATTTTGAAACATTTATTTCTTTTTTAAATATCCACTGCTATACTTGATCTCGAACCTGCTTATAAAAGGTCTGACTTTTTGAAAAATCGAGTGAAGCACTTCCGTCATGCGGCTTGTAAGAATTTTATAGAATTCTAAATATAGATCTCCGCATACTTTGTTCGCGGAGGACGTTTTGGACATTTATTATACCAACATGTATAAATTATTCTATATATCTTTATGGATTCAGTAAAAGGGATACTTACACTGTAAATATTTCGGTAGAATCTGAAATGACCTGGGAGTCTCCTCTTCAAGTCTCGAGTGAATAGGTTATACTTATGGATGGCTACATCATCATCTTTAATTGCTCATTTTTATAAAGCTATAAGTAGGTATCTACATATCTGTCTTTTTCTTTGAAATAACCGAAAATAAATTCCATTGTTCCATTATAATATTTCAATGTTTTATGAGTAAAATAATCAAACAAATATTGTAAAATAATGTTAATTGTAAAAATAAGTAGGTAATCCAGAAAAAGTTGTAACACTGATATTATCCGTTTTGTGATATTTTAGATGTGAATAAAATTGACACTAATTTAATTGTACCTCTATACAAGTTTAGAATTCATAATACATTGCAAACTGGAGACATTGTAAACTTATGAGAATGTTCCAACCCATATATTATTTTATGGTTATTCACATAATATAATATCTACTAATACAAAACACCACAATAACACTTATAAATAATTGTAGTAAAAAATAAAGCAATTCTTATTTTTTTTTTATTTTAGTGCAATAGTCTTACACAAGGTAGTAGAAAAAAATATAAATTTAATATTATTCTAGTCTCCATATAACAAGTGGTAGAGAGTCTATTTTTTGGTTAATTAATTTAAAATATTTTTATCAATGAGATAAAAAAACAAAGGCTTTTTCCCATTAAATCAATTGTTTAAATTGATTGATTGATTGAAATCGAGTGATCGGTTTTTGCTGAATTTATTCATTAAGAGCTTTTGCAGTTTTGTTTTCGTGAGATCTCTATATCTTAGACTAGACTCTCTTAGGAACATTGGGACAACAGCCTTTATTATCTATAAACTAAATTTTCCAAGGGCTGAGGCCTGAGGCCTTACTACGAGTTTCATTTACGTTTAAAGTTTTCGAAACGAGTACGCGTTCGGCAATCTGATTGGCCGGCGCAAATGAACCAACCAATCAGAGCGTCGAATGCGTACTCGTTACGATTACTTTAAGCGTAAAACAAACTTGTACTAAGGCCTCAGTGCATTGCAGTTCCATGTGACAGTTTTCGATGCAAACGAAAAATTATTTCTTTTATATTAAACACACTAACTAGTTAAAGTTTTATATCAACATTGAATAGATAAACAACTAGAATTATTAGTTAATTTTCTAGAACTATAAATATTGAATATTCATTTATGCAATCGTAATTACGACTTGTAAGAGTGGACCTTCGAATGGATATTGATTTGCATGCTAGCAATAATTGTTTAAAAAGTCTAGTCCTTTGTGACAAATTAAACGATTTACCTTATGCAAATGAGCCAATTAAGAACCTCAGCGAGATAAAAACAAATATTCAGATTGTAAACTCTTTAATATTAATTCTCTTTAATAGGCCGTTTGAGATATAAAATCTGCTGTAATTTGATAGGTTAAGGTGACACGGAATATTAAATTGCATAGAATTACTTTCTATGTTTCAGATTATCAAACGGAATATTTCGCAATACCCCTTTGTTTTATAAATCTTCTATCAACCTAACAATAGGCAAAATATTTCGAATAACGTAACAAAAATATTGGACACGCATCTTATATCTTAGATTTAAATTAAGATCTTTGTCAAAATTTCAATAAATTCAGTATTTCTACATCGACATTAGAATTAAAAATGATGACCTTTAAATATTTTTATTTTTTATCCAATATTTATTAGAGTCATGACATACCCCAATCCAAACTAACTAGTAACTCCGATACGACCTTCAAACCTTCAAGAAAAGATAGTATTCCTTTTTAAAGGGCCGGCCACGCACCTGTGACTCTTATGGGTGTCCATGAGCGACACTCATGGCTTACCATCAGGTAATCCGTCGGCTCGTTTGCCGCCTATACCATTAAAAAAAATGTTATTAATGAAGTTGTTTTACTTTACTAGACTGTCTCCCACCTCAAGCTGTTCATGCACATGGTGATTGGTGTGCTCCTTGGGTTGCTCTACGAAAAAGCTGGTAGTGATGGATCGAAGACCGTCAGTAATTTAAGCTTCCTTCTCGTCAGCACTGTATACCTTTGCTACACGTCACTCATGCCTGCTGTACTGAAAAGTAAGTAAGATTATCTATAAATCCATAGTTAATAAAATCTATACTAATTTTCCGGTAGTTGAGGAGATTAACGCGTTCCCACAAACAACTAAAGTCTATAGTATTAAATTTAGAAAATGTAGGTACCTATTTCTTTTTTTTACCACATTAGGATTTTCTCCTGTGTCGTGGGTATGTTTACAAACATACAAGTTCACATACACAATGACACCCAGACCCGAAATGACAATTTGTGGATTACACAAAGAGTTGTTCGGTGCGGGAATTGAACCCGCTGCACGTTGCGCTAAAGACTAAATTACGTTGCTAACTAAAGAATAAATTAAATAGGACACACAACTGAATAATAAAAATAAGATAAATAATATATTACACGTGACCGCATAAAAATAGAAAAATAAAATAGAGAGGATTGGATTAGATACCTTTGTAAATTATCTTTTTATCATAACCATGACAACAACAAACAATATTAAAAGATGTACAAGAATAAATAAAGAAAATAAAAAACTCATTCAAGCACGATTAAATAATAACTAAAATACATATATTTAAGTTCAACTCATTTGTACGTCATGTATGTGACAAGATTTTATTGATAATAAATTAAAAAAATGATATAATAGGTATGAGATTTTTTTTTATAAACAAGTTCTAAGACATATTGCACACGAATAACGTTAAATACAAAATTTACGGCAACAATAGATTCGAAAATTAATAACTTGCAGTTTTTATAAATAGTTTATTTCTAAAACAATACAAGTCAAAAAGTCAACATCAGTTGAACGAACTGCAAATAAAAGTTATCTACTGAGAATATGAGGCTTTTTTCAAGGGAGAATATGAGGCTTAGGACTTCGGGTTCAATCACCGAGCCAGACAAAAAGTGATAATGGTTTTTAAAAATTTGGCGATGATTCACACACGTATCTCAAACTCGAAAGCTTTTAACGTTTTAGTCATTGGTCGTGTACTTACTTGCTTTTTTCATGTCTCGAATATCGAATTCATATCGGATCCTTATGTAGAAGTAGAACAGGTTGAATACATACAGAAGAAGAGTGAATAGATATTGGAAAAATGTTCATTCATTCATCCCTCATCTGTCTCTATTCACCTCTCCATTCCTTTTCACTCCTTTTTACTGTATAAAGAACTGTCAAGAAAACGGTGGAAGAAGTTATATCTACGCGTACATACGTACAGTATAAATAAGTATGTGGTATCATATAATAAACATAACCAATAGTAGTGTAAATGAAACAGCCTTTACCTCTGTTTGTAACAGTGCTTGTTTGTAACAAATGAAGTGCATAGGCGCGTGTGCATGAGCATCACAAAGTAATTGATTACGCAGAACATCTATTAATTACGATCATTAGACAGCTACTTCTTGTTAAGTTTAACACTAATAGCGCAATAATCTAAGACGGTAATTAGAAAAATGTCCTCTGTGGTGGGTACTTTAAGTATAAATTATGAAAAAAACTATTTTTAGCTTCATATAAAACCCTGACCTTCTACTGATTTTAGTTTCCATTCTAAAACAAATCTGTGTCTAGGTTGCCTAGTTAGTATTTAAGTTCATATCGTATGAACTTTACTTTTATTGAGTTCTGATTTATCTATGTTCTAAGAGGATTTTGACTAAGTCCAATCAGATAGGTTTATTATTTTATCCATGAACTTTATTTTGACTTTTAATTGCTTAGCATTGAGCTGCAACAGTTGTTGTATTTTTGTTTGATACCGTTAGTGAGCTTTCCAGTTTATAAATCTCTCAAAAAATCATTTGTAAACAAAAGCACAACAGGCCAAAAAAGGTCTGCTTACATGTACACAATACTATATTCTTTAATTAACAATTATATTATGCCTTAACAAATCTTACTTGAATACATTGACCTTCCACTGAAGAAAAAATGTTTTTGAAACGTAAATCAATCAAATCTTTACAAAGCTCATCGTTTGCCACCTTCTTGGGGTCAAGGTACTCTTATTTCTAAGACGCAAGTTATCTGGACCTTAACTTACTAACCGGTCTAGGGCGACCTGCAATTGGTCAGGGCCAAATCAGGGTCTGTTATAACTCAGAGACAGAATGTTGAACTTCAAGGCAACTTTAGGTGCATTTTTTTGTTAGATGATGACTATAATTCTTTTGTTTTATCTCTACAACTTGACGTTGCTTTCAAACTACAGTTATGTATCTATGCTAGTATACAATCTTTGAAAATACATAACTATATATGTAAAGAGCTAGTTTTTATATTGAGCTAGTCTTTATATTCATAAAGATAGGTGTCCTAAATCAATATTTAGGACACCTATCTTTATATAGCCTTATATGCCTTGCGGAACCTAAGACCAAAATTATTTGTCGCCCCTTAAAATATTACGCAGCAAATGTAAACGACAAAATGATTACATTAATATTAAATGACACATAAATTTAATTCACAAAAAAAAAAACAATATCTAGCTTGATATAGAGATGGGATTTTACCCGGAAAATACCCGAATATGGGAAAAAACCGGGAAAAAACCCGTGGAAAATTCCCGAATGGGAAAATATTCGGGTTTTTTCATATTTAACACATGTAACAAATAAGTAATGTGTAGATTATGTACATATCATATAGTAGGTACTATTTAAGAACTATTAATAAAAGTTAGAGCTAATCTAACTTTGTTTATGTTCATATTGCAGTAATAACGTTCTTAATATCCTTAGGGACCTACTATCAAATGAAATAAAATGAAATTAAACAAAAATCCTGTCTGTTTGTGTGATCCTCCGCTCTTAGCGACAGGTAACCCGAAAATACGTGAGCGGGTAGAGGGGCAGGGAAGCAGGTAGTAGAGGGGCGAGCGCGTTGGTGATCTATCTATCTCACACGTTGTTTCGGCTTCATACTGTGCGCACTCGTGTTAATTTGTTGGTTTAATTGACGACTTGGATTTTGTTTGGTGGACTTTTGGTTACCTAATCCTTTGAATTGACAACAACTGCTACTCTTACGGACTTTGATACCTACTTTTTTTACGAACGAAATTTACCGGTAAATTTACAGTTTTGTAACTTTTGTAAAGTATAATAAATGATTGTTAGTAAGAGTATCTCTCGTTGTTTTAATTATATTATTTTAGTCAAACATTCTTTAAAGTTTAATAGGTATTTTTTCTGCTGTTAACATTCCATCACAGAGCGCAGTAAAAACTTATTATAAAACAAGAAGACGTCTTTATGGTGTTATAATAAATATGCTGGTTATGTTTTAGTCCTTGAAATAGACTACACATTTTAACGTTTCAAATAACAGACAACAGCTAGTGCCTTATACACGCTGGTGCTAAGTACTACTCTGTCAAGAAAGTACCGGGAAAAGATCAATAATACAAAAAATGTCTGTTATTCATCCAAATTTATTTTATCACCTTTAAACTGTCAAACACCGAGCGGTCGGTGTTTGACAGTTTAAACTGTCACCGGTGACCGCAACCTATTGTTCTTTAATTGTCTGTAATGACGGTACTCAACGAGTTAAAGTATGCTCCTTTAGAGACGATACACTTGCGCCAACGAATAATCTATTCATCAAAACATTTTTTAAACGCTGCTTCCAGAATTGAGTTTAGTTCTCGCCGCGAATTCTCCTTTACGTCTTCTATCGATTGAAAACGGGTGCCACGAAGTGGTAATTTGAGTTTAGGAAAAAGAAAAAAGTCAGCAGGAGCCATATCTGGTGAATATGGTGGTTGCTGGATGGTATTTGTTGAGTGTTTGGTCAAAAATTCGTTCACCTTGATGCCACCAATGATAGCCTTGTGCGAAGGCGCTTTCTCGTGGTGCAAAATCCAAGAATTTTCTTTCCACAAATCTGGCCTTTTTCGTAGAATTTGCTCTCTTCAACGCCGCATAAAGCTCAAATAATATTCTTTATTTACCGTTAGACCTTCCGGTAAGAATTCAGAGTGCACAACAGCGCGATAGTCAAAGAAAACAGTCAACATGACTTTGACTTTTGATCGACTTTGGCGTGGTTTTTTCGGTTTCGGTTCAGTTGGAAGGCGCCACTCCGAAGCTTGTTGACTAGTTTGCATGCCAAACTCATAAACCCACGTCTCGTCACCAGTAACAATGCGTTTCATGAATGTTGGGTCCAAACTGACTCGTTCTAGCATATCCTCAGCGACTTTCATGCGATTGAGATTTTGGAGAAAATTTAGATCTTTTGGAACTAGTCGAGCAGCAACATGTTTCATACCCTTTAATGTATAGTATAGATTAGTTAAAATGGTACGGATCGACTCGTGAGATACAGAAAGTTCGGCGGCTATCTCTCTCAGAGTTGAATGGGGATTTTCAGTCACTATTTCCTTCACTTTTGCGATGTTAACTACAGTTGCAGACCAGAGCGAGGCAAATCTTCCATCACATCTCGACCGCTTTTGAACGCTTTGAACCACTCATAAGCACGAGTTTTTGATAAAGTCGATTCACCGTAAGCTTTCTGTAACATTTTTAGTGACTCCGAACACGAAATTCCATTGGCGATGCAAAATTTAAGACAAACTCTTTGATCGATATTTGTGTCCATTATGAAATTCACAATATACATTATATATGATATTTCTGAAACCAGCGCTGTATTTAATATAAATAACAGATGCAACTCAAACTCCGCGCCAAAATGGAAAACAGTTGTGCCAATCTAACAACTACATAAAAACAAAAATTTGAATTTGGAACCATAAACAAATCATCCATTCCCGATACTTTTTTGAGTGAATGTAGGTATATGCGCATCACAAAGTACCTATTTATTTAGTTCTGAAAATAAAAATAGAATAAGATCATTATAAATGAAAATACCCGCCTATTGGGTTTTTTCCCACATAAAAACCGGGTTTTTTCCCAAATGGGAAAAAACCTGGGTTATTTCCCTTTGGGTTTTTTCCCAGTGCCCATCTCTAGCTTGATAGAATATCCAATAAGATTTTAAAACTAGTTTTATTAAGACTAATCTTACCACTTTTACACAGACACAATTACTTAGAATTTTGATGGCTTTTTCGAATAGGTTAGTTCATAAAAATCTGGTTTTCAATTATATATTTTTATTTTTTATTCTTAGTGTGTATGCATTTACCTACTGAATTTAACAAAACGTGCAGATTAGTTGTTAATCAAGAAATTTTGGTTTTGACCCCCATTTTCAATTTATGATACATCACAAATGTATTTTTTTGCTAGACATAATCTACATAATCCGCTAATTTGTACAAAAGGGTGATGAACCTATCAACCGCAAAAAACAGTCAGATGCGACATTCATATGTTAGAAAGAATTCAGTAGGTTTGAATTTAACGTGTCTCGAATTAAAATTTTATGCATAAAAATCAAATTCAATACCATTAAACAATTTTATAAAATGTCAGACTTCGGTTTAACCTACGAGTAACACCTATTTAATTCGGGATTAGTAAATTTATTTCAATACTTTTGATATTATAGGGACCCACTCTATTTGCCCACATCAATAACTGGTGGCATGAAAATTTATCAAACCAAATTTTAACGTACTATTTGCTTTTTTCTAGTACCAACCGAGATGTCAGTTCTGAAAAAAGAGAACTTCAACAACTGGTACAATCTTAAAACGTACTATGCAGCGCTGCTTGTCACCGGTATGCCCCTGCAGGTAAGATAAACACAGACATCACACATACAAACACATTAGGTAATACTAGTCTAGCAAGACCAACCTTAATTGACTTAGTAATTCCTAAAACTAAAAGACTCGTTTTAACTGACTCGATAATAAAAATAATAGCTATTGTGAATTGCGAATTCAACTCATGTTAAGGACTTAAACAATGTGTGACCCTTAGCTTAGTTAGTCCTTCAGCACTTTCTTAATTGGTTTCCATAGAAACTACTGAAAATATAATCTCAAAATTAGTCGAGTCAGTGGTCTTTAATAGTAGAGTCCAGAATTAAAAATGTAGCTTCAAAAATCACTTTTATTCGTTAAAGCATCTTTGAGTAAAGTTTCGTCGTAAACAATTCGTTTTGTTCATTTCCTTATTTTTCTTAAGCTGCGTGCATCTAAACAAAGTGTTGTTTAGGTATATACTTATTATCATGTGCATTTACCTTTAGTCTATAATTAAATCTTCGTGGGTACCGCTTATAATCGGTGACCACAAGCCTATTCAAGTAAAGTGCTGTAATTAAATCAGAGTGTGCCATAATTGTGGAGATAACGAGCTCATAAATTATCAATACACGTGCATAGTAATGGAAATTGTCAAAGAGTATGTGTGTGAAGGTTACAAAACAGAATAAATGGTAACTCACGTTAATATTGCAAAAAATAAAGCCAGTTATAAGCATTTATTTACGTCAATCTTTAAAGCCAACATTAAAGTGTTTATACCAAAACACCATAATAATTGCTCTTTTTAATAGTTTTAAGATAATCTTCATCAATTAATATAATCCATTCGCTGGTCTTTTGAAGAAGAACGAACACAAAGCTCCAAGGTCACCCACTCTTACAATTGTGGACGAAGCTAGGTGTCAGATTATGACAATATTCATTATAACATTTTTGATATGAAAATTATATCAGTTTAGTAATTGTTTATATACAAAAAAACGTAGTCTGATAAAATTATATTATTATGTACCTATGTAAATGAGCTACTCAGATTTCATTGTTATTAAGGTGAAAGTTTTTAGCGAATCTATACCTGCTGCTAATGAATTTAAAGTAGGCTAATTCGCATCTTACTACTTCTAAAAACAGTAACTGGTATTTGTTAAGACTGATTATTCTGTTACAAACATTATACCGACTACATCAATAAAGAAAAAATAATTCACCTTCACCTTTTCTCTGTTCTGCAGATCATCTACAGCTTTGTGTATTCAGTACCATCATACTTCCTATCTGGACAACCGGCAGAACCATACCGGTTTATCATGTTTGTCATAGCACTTGCCAACGTGGCACTCCTTGCCGAAGCCATGGGCAACGTCATCGGAACATGCTTCAACCCTGTGGTAAGTCAACTTGACTAAAAATGTGATGGACCTAGAACAGAACCTTGTGGCAGTCCGACTTAAATTCATGCTAATGTTGTGACGGATTCCACGTAGGTATTGGTTGAGTTTTATTAATTTCTAATTGGTTCGTAGAAGAATTCGAAATCTTGATAAATATGATAAACACAACATAAGTATTTAAAAATGTTTTATTAATAAATGACGTTGTCATAGGCTTCCTAAAATCCAATAAATAATTCACCTTCTAAAAGAAATTTCGTGTATATTATTAATTTTTAGTTTCTCTGTCAGCAAAGAATATTATGATACTAGGTACATTAATGACAACATTGTTAAAATTATCTTAATTTACATTTCCTAGTAAAAATAAATTAAATTCAAAATTATTCGAATAAATTCTGCCAATATTATATCACATTAGAAAACGTTGCATTTTAATACCCGTTTATGATAGCTAATTGTACTTTTATTTATAACTTGTTTCGTATATATGCATAACTAACTACGACTTTTAAAAATTAAAAGCTTGTTCCACGTGTAAGATGAAAATAGAGTCCAAATTGAGACATTTGTTATCTATTCTATTATCAATTATTATCTTATTAAAGACATTTTGTGTTACAAATAACCCAATTCATATGAAATAGTGGCAATTATGTAATAAAGGTTAAGCCCAGTGGCACATTAGATCATGGTGTTATCAAAGGCAGGCGATAAGTTTTGTTTAATGTCTTTATATGTGTCGCTGCACGTGGCAAATGTCGATAATGACCGCGCTTTATATCTTTTAGTTTGCACCTGACCTTTGTAGGCGACTTCTAAAATGGGGCTTATTTATGTATAACTAATTAATTTGGCTATACAAAAGTAATGCTATAAAAAATAATAGAGAAAACCGTACTTTATTCGTATGGCCATTTATATTCTCACTTATTCACCACGCTTACTTTATTGATCAAATATTGTAAAAGAACAATTACAACTTCCAGCGGTTTTAGGACCACCTACCATTAGGACCTCAAAAGGATCACCAAATATCCTGAAATTAAATGGAGATCCTTTTCCTTTAAGCTTAGACAATTAAATATATTTATCGGCTAGTTTTTATCCGAACTATTTCAAACTAAAGATATGTATATCTAAACATGAAATTCAGCGTCTGCAGTCTTTTTTCACTTTTATTGCATTAATTCACAGAATGGAACTTTCCTAGGAGCGATATGGACTTGTGCAATGATCGTATACGCAGGGTACCTGGTCCTCCTAGCGCATATGAACACAGTGATGCGAGCTGTATCACATGCTTCGTTCCTAAGATACGCCTTCGAAGCTCTAGTATTGGCTATTTACTCCAATGGACGGCAGCCCCTAAACTGCCCCGAGGATATTACGTATTGTCATTTGAAGTAAGTTGCTAATATTTTTTTATCATCACTATCAAATCAACCGCGAGATGTAGGCCCTTGAACATAGGCCTCATCCGAGTTTTTAGAATAAAATTAGTTGCTACAATAACTTGCAGCTTTTATAAAAATAAAATATGTGTCGCAGTCCTTAAGAGAAGATTTAGCTCGTGCCAAAATGCACGTCCTAAATAAAGTAAAATGAGCATTATCATTGAAATCTCCAATTCTGATTGACTTCTTATAACAACAATAATTTCTCTTATTGATCTCAATTATTTAATCCACGTTAGCAGTAGCGTAACAATACCGTTCGGGCCCCGTGCCAAATTCATTGGATGGGCCCTCTTCCCAATATAAATAACAGAGCGCCACTGAGCATTAGGAATCTTACAATAATTTGTCATTTCCAGACATCCAAAGACAGTCATCACTGAATTCAGCCTCAAGCCGGACAACTATTGGATCGACATTTGGATTCTAGTTGGAGAACTTGTCTTCGTCAGGATATTGGCATACTTCACATTGAAGAGAAGTGTAAAAACGTCTACATAAATTAGTTAAAATTATTATTCATACTATGATATTAAGTACTTTAAAGTACTTTTGAACAATGATATAACATAGGTACCGGTTATTTTAATACCACATACATGACAATTAATGTAAATACTAAGACTAACTTACAATACTACAAAGTATGAGATACTAAGGTACCTTCTACAAGTTTCCTTAGTTCTTTAAAGCTTAGAGACATAATGACACATGTATCAACTTTATGCCCCCGGAAATAAAGTTGTAACCGGTTTAACCGGGTAATTAATGTTAATGTTATTTTATTTAAAGTTGGTCCTTTGAGCACCAAGTTGAAATTAAGGACCAATTCTTTTTGGGCACATATTTTTAGTAAGTGGTGGAAGAAATATGTTTCGAATATGAGTGATAAAATGTATTTGTACAAGTAGGTAACTACATCATGACTGATTTGATAAAAATATAGGTGCAATGGCTTAGTACGTAGGAAAGGCCAGTAAGTAAAATGCTTATTGCTATAATACCTACTTAAAGTGAGCCCCATTATGGTCTCATGGTTGTATCATTGCTATATTCTTGCTAGGTATATACCTAGCCTATTTATTACCTAAATGGTACACACCCACACTGATGTTTACCCATACAAAATAATTACCATACAGTTACCAATATTATATAATTAGGTACCACTGTTATTTAATGGCTTTTATTTGAACATGTTTCAAACAGCTGTGCAGACATTGTAATTGCCTTAAATCGTACACCTAAGTCATTTTAGGGTTATTGGTGAAGTGGGAATCATTGATTAAATATTAAATAAGTTATCAAAATATTATTAAATAAGTAATTATTTTTATAAAAGCATTTATTGATTCATAGCAGAAATGCATTCGGTCCGCGTTTTGTTCCTTTATGGAATGTAATAAGGTAGATATTTAAATAGGTTTCATTTTCCTACATTTGGGTGTATTAAAACTTAAATCTATAGCAACAGCACCTACATACTACATATAGATAAGTTTATGAAAGAACACAGCTAGACTATTTTATAATTTTCAATTCGATTCAAGTGAATTAGAGTCCGCCATGTCATTGGTTATGAGAATATTCTCGACCAATGACAAGCGAGAATGCGATCAAGCTCAATTCGAAAATTTGAATTGACAGTTACAAAAAAAATAGCCAGCAGATAACGATGGTTTATATTATAACTTTCGTGGGACACACTTTAGCTTAATAACGTAACTGTTTGACGAGAAACTCGACTTGTTTCAAGCCATGCTACAGGCTCATATTGATATATGAGCCTGTAGCATGGCTAGAGTGATCTCTAGCACGGCTTGAAACTAGTCTAGTTCCTCGTCAAACAGTTACGTGAGTAAGTCGAAAACATAATAATTAATTCCGATAGGAATTTGTAACATTAATGTTTCGAACATTAAAATCGGACAGCAATTACAATTTTCACACATAGCCATAAGTAGATAAGTATACCTAAGTAGGTAAAAAGGTGTGATTAAATGGATCTGGTTAGTGTTAAGTAGCAAGTATTAATTAATAAGAAATTAGTTACCACTACATTGTCTTAAAATAATATGAGCAAGTTGTAACTCCTGTGATAAGTTGTCTTTTAGATTATAAGTACGTGTCAGTACTTAAATTATGTCTCTCGAAGTGAATTTCAAGTGTTTTTGGAAACGCGAATACGGAGGGAAAATATATTTATTCAGTAGGTATGTTTGTATTAAGGTATCTAAAGTGCCTTACTTAGAAGTTAGACTAATATCACTAAATGTTACCAACAATTGTTTTGTTTTTATAAGAACTATCGTGAGCCATACTGAATTAATTAAAAATAACGGTTCACTCCCTGACGCCTTAGTACGAGTTTGTTTTACGTTTAAAGTAATCGTTACGACTTACGAGTACGCGTTCGGCGCTGTGATTGGCCGGCTCCAATGAACCAACCAATCAGAGCGCCGGACGAAGTTTCGTAAGGTCTCTGAACTCCCTCATATACTGAAGAAAGTTCTACTTGTTTCGAGTCACAGAGGGTCTCTTCTTCATGAGCAGGTTGTGCAGTCGCCACGACTCAAACCAAGTAGAGCTTTTCTAAGTATATTTACGTGAGTAAACCGTTAGTTTGAATTAATTATTTTATTTATGTATATTATGCCTACAGATTTGCCTAAAAATTGTAAAACCATTAAAAGTTCATTTGTATTAACAACATTAATTAAGTACAATATTGAAAAGTCACAATAGTAAATAATGTATTTTTGTAACTAAATAGATAATATGGTTTCAATGTGAAAACAATGCGTATATTATTATGACGAACAATTAAAATAATGTCTAATATATGAAATCGTTTATTTATTTCAACTATCTTTTCCTCGAATTCCTAATTTAGGCAGGAGTTAATGCAAATACAGTGGTGACTCCATTGCAGTTGATTCCTGCATGCCATGGTAATGCTAGAAAATCAAAGAATAATTATATAATTATTATGGGTAAGGTCGTCTAACGAGCATATGGATCACCTGATCTGATAGTAAGCAATCGGCGTCCACCATGGACACCGTCAAACCAAAAGAGTTGCAATAAGTAGGTATTGCTTCGGGACTCATGCAAATAGACGCCCCACATACCTAATCATAAAAATACCTTCTAAAAAGGTAATATTAGAGTGAAGGAGAGAGTCATAACTCAGTCAAGCACTGCCTGGTGAGACGCTGAGGAGATAAGGTATTATTCTGCAAGAGACTCATAATTTCATCCTCACTAAGTAGGTACGATATTATTTGAAAATTGTTTACCTACATATTGAGTCAGAATTTTTATCATTTGATCACTCCCCAAACTGTCGCTCAATGTTCAAACTCTGGGAGTATTGAGAACTTCCAAGTTCCAAACCTTGGTAGGAATCTCAATAACCATACCCTAAAATATATGGACTGTAAGAACATTTTCATCGCGACAAAAGTAGCTAGTAAATTATACGGATTTATATATTTATACATATACTATTAATCAAATAGGAATTTAATTGTTTCAAAAGGAAAAGTAAAGACGAAAACTGTGAGATAAACACAGATTCGATGGACTTGATAGTATGAAACTAGCGCTTCCCTGAATAGCGCATAGTAGTTTTACGCAGAACTAGCCTACGTTTACTAATCATGTTCTAAAACCTTAAAATCACAAAAATCGACATGATTTTGCTTGATTTTAATACAATAGGTACACAATTCAACATTCTGTACTTTTGTAGCAATATTCGTAATATTATTGCTCGAATAGAGATGATCTTCACGCCATCTTCTGCACTCATTATTATAGAGTGCATAGTCTATGCCTGTTACCTTATGGTCTGCGCTTGCTCGTCTCATGTCATGTACTAATGTCACTTGAGTTTATGTTCGGTGTTGATACCTACTTTGCCGACTCCTACACGAAAAGTAAACAGTTCACTTTTATCTTATTTCGTGTATAAACGGTGTTATCTAGCGTTGTTCTAATTATTAAAATACCAGTGTATCTACTAGAATACCGCAAAATTATCAGTTAAAAGTATCACAAGAAACACGAACATTAAATTTCTCGAAAATGTAAGTACCTATAACTTTATGAAGCTTTTATTAAAATCTGTGCTGTTCGTTTCCTCTGTAAATGAAATTAATTAACAATTTGTTTTAGGTTGAAACACCTACTCCTCGCGTGTTTTCTAATCGGCGTGGTTAACTCAATAAATTATGAAGAATATTATGAGGTATTGGGGATTTCAAAAGTAGCTTCAACAGGGGAGATAAAAAAAGCTTATAAGAAACTTGCTGTTAAATACCATCCGGATAAAAATCCTGTAAGTATCTAACTAGTTATACATTGTTGACTATTAAATACCTATAAAATAAGCAAATACTGAGAATAGTATTTTAATTTTAAATGAATAGGCAATTATTAAACAATAATAAAATTACATCCATACTCATCCGAGTTTCGATTCAACACATCTGGTAAATCAATTTAAACATAATTGTATTAAAGTAACACAGCTAAGTGTAAATATGTCTATTACTTATTATGAAACTACATAATTATGTGAATAGACAACTTTTTGAAAGTTTAGCACTACACTTTACATCCCACATACTCTTTCTTAAAGGTCATAGTATTATGTTAGATGACCTTTCCTTGAAATTTTACAAAACTTGATTGTAATGATGTGACTTATTCTTTTACTTTTCTCTGTGTGATGTGTTTGTTTTTTCTTACAAGTTTTATTATAAAACTTTTCATGCATATGAATTTTGTACACACTAGTTGGACTTAATAGCAAGGGAACCTTCATAAGCATTCTCTAATTTATAAAAATAGACTTTTATCCTTTGTATTATATTTGAATTTGAATATAAGTTCTATTTGAAGTACATAATAACAAAAAATCTTTAATTTGTAGACTGAAGAAGCTCACAAAATGTTTGTTAAAATAACAGAAGCTTACGAAGCATTGAAAGATCCAGAGAAGAGATCTAATAATGCATATAGTTTTATGCACAAACAACCATTCTATTCTGGGGAAGAGTATGATAGACTATTACACGATGGCCTATATCACAACGATCCCTTCGTAGACAACTTGAACGAAGATAATTTTAGTAAGTATTGAATGTTAACTATCTTTAACGTGCTTCAAAAAAGGAAGATCTCAGTTTGACATGTTTCTGTATGGATTAACTTATATGAAGCAGAATGTATTATTTTCTTATTGGTAATAGGTATAGGCTTGGCTGTTATCTTGCCTCATGGTAAGCAACAAATGAATGAATGCCAAACAACAGAAATCTAGTGTATGTCTTTCGCCTCATCTATATAGTAGCACGGGGTCTGTGGAATTGTGCCCGGTATTTAACAATAAGCTTACGCCCTGTTACATGGGATTCATAACATAAATAGTGAAAAGTGAGTGTTACATTATACAATGACATTAAGTGTCGTAATATGCACCTCTGCCAACCCCTTCGGGTATAAAGGTGTTGGAAATTACCGTAGTAAAATGAAAAACAATGGAGATTTCAGCAGATTTCAGCCGGCTTTTATAATCACCGTTGACATTGCAAAAATTTATTTGACAAGCCAATTTCTTCCTTTTTTAACAAACAAGTTCAGGTTCTGTTTACAATCCATAAACAATCTTTCTAACAAAAGGCGTGATGTTATGTTATGTAAAAACCATGACAGGCTATTATAAATGCTATTAAAATGATACAAAAAAAAAAACAAATATTCAAAAGGCAATATATTTTTCAACACAATAGAAGTCTTTCAGAAATAATAACTTGTTATGTATTAGTGTTAAATGAAAAATGTGTTATTGACTATTTACTTATAACATGTTGTCTTACTTGTGACCTTTATTTTTCTGTAGACTGTATTTTTGCAACAAAGGTTATGGATTGCTTGATGATAAAAGGTCACTATAGCCATAAATTTTGTTCATAAGCTGTGGAGGACCTTCCGGTTACCAGTGCTCCGTTTTCAAACAGGAGTAGGAATGGGGTGGTTTTTAATCAGTAAGAGTCTGACACGTCCCTCTCACCTCACCAGGGCGGTAGAAACCATTGGATGATTTTCCCCCTCAAAAAGAAATATGTCTGACACTCTCTCAGGAGAAGTTATTGGATGTTTTCCACCTTAAAAAAAACTTAACTTTCTAGTAGTCTTTTAACATAAGGGTTATACAAGTAGGATTTAAATTGCACTACTAATGACCTTATCTAATACTGTCATGTATGCTGGTTTAATACATTTCATTTAAATGGTCTTGACCTATTTTACAAAAGTGTGGGAAGTCGATTGAGTACAAATGGTAGTTTAATTCGCTTTGTGTGGCTATCTGCAGGCTGATGCAATAACTTTGCAGAATGAATAAGTGTGGGAGAGCCATGCTTCGGCACGAATGGGCCGGCTCGACCGGAGTCATACCACCCACGGCCTCACAGAAAACCGACGTGAAGCAACGCTTGCGTTGTATTTCGTTGTGTGAGTGAGGTTACCGGAGGCCCAATTACATTCCCCTTCCCCAATCTCCCCAATTCCTGAATCCCCAACAATCCTCAAACTCCTAATCCCCAAAAGGCCGGTAACGCACTTGTAACGCCTCTGGTGTTCCAGGTGTCCATGGGCGACGCCGATTGCTTACCATCAGGTGATCCGTCTGCTCGTTTACCGGCTTATGCCATAAAAAAAATGAATATTATTTTCAGTCAATACCTGTGTGACTGTTTATTAAATTTTTGGATTTTGTTGTTTGTCATATTTGATTATGTCTATCTACTTATACTTTTATATTACAGACAACTACTTGAAGAATGGTTTCTACTTCATAAACTTCTATTCACCATTCTGCCCGCCTTGCCGTAATTTAGCAAGCAGTTGGAAGAAGTTAGCAGAAATGTACAATGGAATTGTAAGTTAAATTTTCTTTTTATGACCCCTTACGACCATTTTACCAAAGGGGGCAATTAATAATTAGGTAATTGAATTTTTTTTACAGGTTAATATAGCTGCCGTAAACTGTAAAATACAACCTCAGTTTTGTTTCAACCGAATGCGTATTCACAGTCATCCGACGCTTCTATTTTATCCTAACGTAAGTACCTATATTTCTACTAGGTAGTTCTCTAAATGATACATGTTTCTATTTCAATATAAAACATTTGGCTAACCGTCGTACGATTGAACGATGGGATTTCGTCGCATGACGAGGTTAAACCCTGTGCTCGCGAGATGATTTGCAAGCTTCAATAAGGACAGTCTAATCTAAAGAAATGTCGCGGAGAACCTAACGGGTAACCGGAGCTCCGGCTCGACGTGCAGGAGAAGGAACGGGGTGGTTTTTAGTCAGTAAGAGTCTGACACTCCGTCCCGCCTCACCCAGGCGGGAGCAGTCATTCGATGATTTTCGCCCTTAAAAAAAAATAATCTAAAGAACTGTGTGTCTCTCATCCTGTGACGGAATCGCATCGTTCTTCCTTCAATCGTACAATGGTAGGTACCTAACTAGGATGCAAAATAAGACATCTAACTCTGTACGTAAAAAATATTGCTGAACGTGTTGCTAAGCTCAAATCTCGAAAACAGCTGAACCGATTTCGCTAATTCGTTTTTTTAAGTTTGTTATTGTTAGGAGAAGGTTCTTATGTAAGAAAAAATAACATAATCGCGCAAAAAATTTTTCTACGTGAAACACAGTTCATTGGTCCCCCTAATTAATTATTATGTCGTTGTATTTGTAATAGGGGCTGTTCAAATATTACGTAAGCAGATTTTTTACAATTATTTACCCCCCCATCCCCCTTGTCAGCAAAAGTAAGCAAAGATCTTACCCCCCTCCCCCTTTGCTTACGTAAACATTTTAAATTATATCATTTTTATATTGCAATTTTAATATTCTCTTAGACACCATAATGTCTAGTTCTTTGTCGGTCTTTGCTTGTAATTTATTATTTCAATACGAAGGTTGCCATTCGTGTACAAAAGTAAATAACTACCGATAACGTAATCATCATCTAGACTCCCCTACCCCCTTTTTCCCCCCATAAAAAAAAAAAAAAAAAACTAACCCCTGCCCCCCTATCATCCAAAATAAGCAAAACAGAAGCCCCCCCCCCACCCCCATGGTGCTTACGTAATACTTGAACGGCCCCTAACTGTAGACTTTGTGCTACTAAGAGAATTTTCAAACACATAGCATTTTCAAGGCAATAAAACAATTACGTATGCTATAACTTAGTTACGAGTACCGTGACTAGATGCTAATTATTAATAAATTTATAGCGTTTATGGCATTCTTATCTTTCGCTTTCTATTTCTATTGGTCGCCATAATTTATACTTTCATGGTTTGTTTTTAATTACATTATTAAAAAATATACTTAGTTATCGGACTTTGTAGTTTTTAATAACAATGTTAACTCGCATATCATTAATTTCACACCCATTTACCACAATTTGTTGATTACACAAGTAGCTTTTGTTGGCTACAGATTTAAGACAGGATCCTATTAAAATTGCGACAGAATCAAAACCCTGTGAATTCTACTGGTATGTAGACTTCACAGTTTTCTGAGATACTCGTGAATCTCATAAGAGATATTGATACACAGGGAATCATTCAATCATATACCTACCACTAACCACTTTTGCGCGGTGGCACTCTGCTCGGCTCCTATTGATAGTAGCGTGATCTTATAGCCTATAGCCTTCCTCTATAAATGGACTATCCAACACAAAAATAATTAATTATTATGTTTTCGGCACACTCACGTAACTATTTGACGAGGAACTCGACTAGTTTCAAGCCATGCTAGAGGCTCATATTCATGAGCAGCATTCCCCGACTCGCGACGTGGCGACTGTCGCACTGCTACTGAAACTCTCCTCAAACATTTACGTGAGAAAGCCGAAAACATAATAATTAATTTAGTATGTCTCACGAAAGTTATAATATAATCAAAAATATTTTTTCAAATCGTACCAGTTGTTTCGGAGATTTGCACGTTCAAACAAACAAATTATTCAGCTTTATACAATAGTATAAGATAAGATTCCTATTAACAGGGCAAAAGAGGCGGTGTCGTGTACTACAATGGAGACTTGAAACTGGAGTCACTGGAAGAATACATAATGATGTTCCTACGCAACCATATGAACATACCCACTATAGACCAGCTTAGGAGCAAGGACAAACGCATGGCGTACGTGCTAGGATCCACTATGATCGAGAGGGATGACCTCACTAGGATCGCTTTTCATTTGGTGAGTATATTCTAGATATCATTTTTGTAGCATAACTTTAAAAAAAAACGTTGCCCCACACTAGGATTTTCTCCTGTATCGTAGGAGCGTTTACAAACATACAAGTTCACATACACATGACACCCAGACCGGAAACAACAATTTTGTGGATATCACAAAGAGTGGTTCCGTGTGGGAATTGAACCCGCGGCACGTTGCACGGCAGCCAGATATTCAGCCGCCGCGCCAACCGTGCAGTCATGTCAGTAGACCGACTGTAATATTGTACGTAATATAAAATATATCGTAAGCAATCAGCGTCGCCATGGTAACACCAGATAAGATACGAGTGCGATGCCAACTTTTTGGGGAACGAAGGGATTAGGCCTCTGGGGAACCTTACCCATATCTTACAGTGAAACAGTGGAATCGTTGTTTCTTGTTGATTTTCTCTGTGGATTTATAAATGTAATGTGCCACCGTACTTTTAATACCCTGAAAGAGAATATGCGCATTGCCTGCTAAAGATAACTATAAAGTTTCTATAGCACTGCTTACCTCCTCGCTAGTTTTATTAGTCTTATGTTATACTGACTTTGTCTACTATCTATATTTTTCATTATAGCACACAAATGACTTAATGAATAATAATATGGTATTTTCTCCCAGTCAACCTTTGTGTTAAATAGAAAATCAGCGGAAATAGGCTTATGTAATATGCAGTAAAATAAAACCTTCGTACGAAACTCCCCACCATACCATGACACTAGCCGGATGATGAGTACGCGAGACATTCCGTGCTGAAGGTGGGACATCCTTGCTACTTTTGGCATACACTTTATTGTTTTGTCGATTGAACTTTTCTTCGACGGTAAATATTTTCTCGTCGGTGAAGAGTATCTTCCTCGCATCGTGTCTCCTAAGCAGTATTGGACAACGTTCGCGTCGCAATTGACGAAGGCGATCGTTTAAAAAGTGTACTTTTCTACGGCTATACGCCTTAACCTTGAGATCATATTTCAGTATTCTGTTGACTGAAACGCGCGAAATATTGGTCTGCAGAGCGAGTTTCTTCTGAGTGTGACATGGATTTCGGCGAAGTCGCTCTCGGATGATTTTAATGTTCGCAGGCGTCCTCACAGAGCGTGGACGACCACTTCTTTGCCAATCATGTAAAGAACTTGTCTCCTGGTATCGTTTAATAGTGTAATACACGAAGTTACGGCTCACTCCAAAACTTTTCAGTTCTCGGAAAATGTCCATAGTTTTTCTTCCCACCTTAAATAATGAAATGACGGTCGCACGTAATTCTTTTGTTCCCTCCATTACGAGAAAATTTAAATAAAATAATCCGAAATCATAGATATTAAAAGTTAACATTCCAAATTCAAAATTAGAAAAAGAAATATACAGCAGCCAGTAATTTTTATTTTATTTTTATAAGCAAAAAGTTTGTCTCAAAACTTATGAACACACGAGGTATAATGAAGCAGTTATACTAACTTCCTCGTTGACTGCCTCGTTGACCGAGTGGTCTCGCAAGCGCGACTG